TCTGTCCCTGTTTCCCATGGGGCTAGTAATAGGTTCCTAAAGAACAGGGACCATGGCTGTTTATCCGCAGCCAATGTTGCACAAAATTCCGCCACAAAGCCATAATTTGTCTGTTCAAGAATTTCCAAGTTCTCAAGTTCTTTTGAGGTATTGGGGTCGAGCCAAGTTGGGGGAATCCAAAGAGTTCCTTGGTCTGCTAGAGACGTTGCAATTTCAGGAGTAATTTTGACATCGGTGAACACTGTGTGAAAACACCTATGTGGACTGTTGGGAGGAGTGAGAGATTTTCTGCCTGTTCTGATGCCTCACACCAATCTGAACTCAGAGCAATTACCTGCAAATAATTGTATAGCAGTGCGTAGCGTAGCGCATCCTTAGTCGAGGGGACTGCGTTCACTGGGATGATAGGCAGGGCACACCTGCCAGATTCTGCTTTGAGTGCCATAATCTTAACTCCTTGTGGTGCTAGCGAGGCGCACAGTGGTACAAGAAAGTGTGAGATTTCTCTTACGTCAGATGTCGTTGCTGCGTTGACTGTTATCGGTATGCTAGATGGGCCTGCTCCCACACTTCCTATTCCCCTGGCTTGTCCTGCATTCTCTACAATAACTTGTTGTGCTCTCGAGGAGCTAATAGTGTAGAACTCTACTTCTCTCTCTTCCTCTTCCCTGGTTTTCTCACTCAGTCCTTTATCTCCTATTTTTCTCATTTTCATCGGCGCCTGTAGTGACACTCTGTTTCCAGGGTCCCTCATGATGTGGTCCCTGAGAGGTGGGTCTCCATCAGTATACGGCCTGTCCCTCTGTCCCGGGTCTTCCTCCCTTCTGGTTCCCACTGCTGCTTCCTTCCCTCTTTGTTGGTTATGGTTCTCGCCCTCGTTCGGTCTCAGTCCCACTAACTCTAGTGCCAACAATTCGTCGTTTTTGTTCTCCACTTCGAACTCTGTGTTAATGTGAACCGCAACAAATGGCTGTCTCGATTGCTCTCTCAGGGGTAAGTGGTGCGGGGGGGGAAGTTCGACAGTGATTAAGCCCAGCTGTCTTTCCTCTACTTCTGTTGTTTGTACGATTCCTTGGGCCATACTTGGTGCCTGAGCCATGATTGGTCTTGGATCGGGGACCCCCAAAACGCCCAGTCTAACCTCTCCATTTCCCCCCTACATGTAGCCTATTGGCCTGTCGGACCCTGTTTGGCGGTAAGTCTCCCACAACCCTGAGGTTCCTGCTACCCTTGTCGTCCCTACTGGAACTAAAGGGAGCAACCCTTCCAGGTTTTGATCTACCCCCTGCCCCCCTGGTCCTGAGTTTTCCTGTGCCTCTTCGCCTTTTTTGATTCCACCCCTGGTACAGGTCCGACTCTCCACCTGTTGGCAATGGCTGATGGTTGATCGGTCCAATGCCCCTTCTTCCCGTGGTTTGGGTTGAGCCAGCCATGACGGCCCCATTTGCTTGCCTGCTCCCCATTTGAGGTCCACTGGACCCTGCTGGGCCTGTCTGGCCTGGTATTCCTGCCCTGCCTATCTGATTTTGCAGTCCGGTTTGTGCTTGCGATGTGCTAGCCCAAGGATGGCGAGGTAGTAGGGGCTGTCCCCTACCCTGCTGAAGGGGGGATTGAGTTTGTACCCACCCCTAATTTTGGGCCCCCTGTTGGACCTGTTGGGCCTGATGCACGTCTGCAGTTGGTTGGTTTGACCACGTAGGTGGGGCTGACGAATACAGACCTGCTATCAGCCCCCTCCCACTACCTGAAGGCCCTGGCAACTGAAGAGCTGAAGACTGTTGGTTTCATGTGCCCTGATTTCCGACTCCTGTGGAAATGCCCTGTGTCCCCGGTCCCAATGGGTGACTTGACAGCTCCAAGCCCTGATAACCGCCCTGATTGAGACCCACGTTCGGGCATGGTACTGGAGGGGGTGGTGGCGGGAGGGACCCTGTCCCATATACTACCATTGGTAGTGAGGAGGGTGGGGCACTACTAGCTGGAGCACTACTGGCTGGGGGGGGGGCCCTGCCACCCCTCGCCAAGTTTGCAAAGTTCTACCGCCTCCTCTACCTCGTCCTCCCCTTCCCCTCCCTCCTCTTCCTCCTCTACCCCTTCCCCTGCAGCCTTGTGGCATTGGTTCATTGAACCTGGGGCACTCCGAGTTGAATTCGTCATGAAACCACCAGAGACACTTATTGCAAAACAACGTATCCTGGTTGGCAAATTGTACCTCAACAAATCCCGGACCGGTTGGCTGTCTGACAACTATCCATTCCTTAAAATTCTGCTTAACTTCGGGTACACAGTCAATCCTTATATTCCCGAGCCGTGGTTCTTCTGCATTCCTCTCCGGTGGGTGCATGTGTATGATTCTCCCCATCATCTTTTCCACTGCGAATCTCAGCGGGAAGACAGCCTCCAGTGGGACCCATAGTGCGATAATCCGATATTTCCCTGCTGCATCGTTCTCCCTCATTTCATCAATTTCTTGCTTGGACATCCAAGGTTTAAAAGTTACCTTAACTGACCCATTTCTCGTAGGTATGCTGTCCTCCCCTTTCATGATCATCCATTCTGCTATCCTTGCGTTGCTTGCTATGTAGGACGTGATGTTAGGGCCCTCCCCATGGGTGCGTCCCCGTTTCTGTGATGGATCGACTGCCGGGTCAAGATACTATGCATCCTCATAAATCCGGATCAATTGCTCTCTTTGTGTCACGCTGATTGACATGGCTGGTTCGTTGAACACCACTATAACCGTTCTGGCTTTAAGCCAATTGATTGTGGCTGTATTGACTTCCTCACTCAGGGTCAGGACTCCAACGCCATCTATGACCTCTGTCACTCCGAAATCAATTTCTGATTCGGGAAAGAGGCCATCATCAAAGCACAAATCCAGAAACATTTTAATTCGATTTGGATCTTCCCCTCCACTTAAATAAGCTGGTGGCGCTTCTTGAGCACCCATTCCCCCCCCCTGAGATGGGGGTAGGGGATTAGGGTTTATGCTTTCTTTCCCGTTTGTTCCGTAAATGACAGTCAACAAGGCTTGTGGATTGGTTAGATGCGCTTAATTCGCTATTTTAATACCGTTCCTCCGGATTCGACCACTCACCTACCACTTTGACCAATGAGACGGAATCCACTTTCAAAGCCAGTTCGACTTTTTCAAGTTCAGCCACGTTCAATGGGACTCATACCAGCGGTGTTGTCCCAGGGTATAATCGAAGATCTGTCATTTACAATTTTGCAAAATGGGGCGATGTTGACCCAATACGATTAATACCCTATATAGAGACGCCCCTCAGATTTCATTCCTGGCAGGGTTCCATTTGAACTATGAAACTCTGGCATCTAGACTTACGTCTCTACCGCCCGTAATATAAAGACAGACTCCAATCCCCGAGTAACTCTAACTTCATCATTATGGCGTGTTTCTTCGTTAAGACTCCATAATTCGCCCTAAATCCCGTTATGTCAACGCTATCTCGTTGTTCCCCACTCTTCCGTGATGGATAACTCCCAAGGAGAGGGGGACCCAACGGGGGTAGAATTTATTGATACACAGGACGAAAGCCTAGCTGCACTTAACGAAAAAAGTCCACCCAACATATAATTGACAGGGAAATACCGACAACAGGATTTGTCGGATGTTTAGACAACGTGTGCATGGCTAAAACCAACACCAGTCACCCAATCCCCCCATAGACAAGAGAGTGGGTAAGATACCGGGAAGAGGTTACTCCTGTACCGATGAGATACCCTCGTCTTCACCAACCGGAACTCTTTGTCTAGAACGTGGTGGTTCCACCTGCGCTTCTTCACCTGGAAACGTCTTCGGCTATAGCTATTCTCCTGGTCGAACTTCTATTCCGTATCGGGGACGTGGGCGTATTCACGCCACGTCCATTCCTCATATTCCGCATAATATAGGTAACATACCACCATCTCATGACCACCGTCTCGCCTCCATTCTCCCTCCTTCCCTGAAGGAGTTTGACCCCGCCATCTCCGGAGGAAGCTTCAGCGAATCCCCGTAGCTCAGGTCGCGTGCCTGGCCGAGGGTCAGCGGCACCGGTCCAGCCGAACCGGTAGCGCTAGTCGGAGCGCTCCTGCGCCCGTCCAAGCGCCCGTCATGCACTCTTACGTGTTTTGACGCCTGAGCGCCCTAACAGTGCTCTCGCTCCCGCCCCCAGCCCCCTTGGCGCCCCCTCGCCACACTGCTCTCGAAAAGTGAAGAAGACAAAAATGTGGCGGGTGCATCTGGCCGTGTTCTAGCGGAAGTTTATTCTCATTTTGCACATTTCGAGAGTGTTGTGGCGATGCCCTCGGTCACCCCCCTGCCCCTTCCACCACAACCCCTTGTCTCCCTCTGCATCGCTGAGTACTCATGGCTGCTGTAAGGACCTCGCCGCACCACTGTTGAAAATGCAATTTTTTGACAGTTTCTCTTCGCCACACAGGCTGTCGAAGTCGGAGACGGGAAAAAAATTCTCCAGTTGTCAGAGCATGCTTCTCGACAGCTCCTATCGAATGTTGTTGAATCCCCGGCCTGCTACTCCCATGCTTTCGACACTCCTCGGTTGCGCCGTCGACTTCTCTTCGAAATTCGGTGAGGGGGGGTAAGGTCGGGATGGACTAATGCTTGTCGTACCCTCTGGCGCGTTCGTCTTTTTCCATCTTGCATTCACAAGTGCGTGCACTCTACAGTGCTGTGTGGCTAAAGGGGGGCAAACTGTCCAATGGAGGATGTCGAATTTGTTCTGACAGTTGTCGAATTTTTTCGCCTTTCGACTGTGGTGCGGCGAGGCCCTAAGTTTCAGTGTTCGTGTCCCTGCAGTGTCTCGTCAACGCATCTCCGTCCTTCGTTGTTGTCCTCATGTCCTCCTCCCCCTCCTCCTCCTTTCTCCATCCCCTGCCCTGCCAGCTGAGCTCGGGCAGCAATAGACTGAGGGAGAGTGACTGATAAGAAGGTCGCGAGAATCTCTTGAGCTCCACGTCTGATGGTGATGGTGCACTGGCCTCGTAGGCAGTCTCATCGACGGGGGTGGCGGCTGCATGTCGACGGGCACGCCGAACGTACATGTACATGCCCAAAGCAGCAGACACGCCGTCACACATTCGCCATTGTTGTCGTCTTCGCAGGTGCACCTTCGTCGTCGATGTGTACGCCGTGCACTCTGGTCATCACTCGCATCATCGTTGTTGTGCACCCCGACACGCGTGGAGTCTTCTGTACTTGGCGATGCCCACGTCGACAGTATCGGTTTCGGCGATGGACATGAACGGGGAGGTGGGCCGTGACATGCTGAGCAAGGCGGAGAGGATGGCAGTGGCAGCGGTCATGAACGCGATCCTCTTCCGGTGTCAATTGCAGAGGAGCGAGGGGAGGATGAGAGCGGCCATTCGCGCACAGTGGAGGAGGACGCTGCAGTCCATGAATTTGGACGTAGAGGACATTGGTGCCATTTGCGACGCCGTGCTCCAGGTGTGCTACGCCATGGGGTGTGGTCCGTGTGGAGCATTTCCCAAAGCGACGCCCAGGTGGTGGATGATGCCACAGACAGGGGGGACGTGGGAGGATCTGCGGCAAGGCAACGACGCGATGGCTGGCTACTTCAAGGACAAGCTGCGCATGTCGCCACCGATGCCACGTTTGTTCCGAGAGATCGAGGAAGCTCTGTCTCCTTTCCTTCAATGGCGTGTCACTTCATATAGGGAGCCCCTCCAGCATGGCCACATTGTCGCGTACTATGCTTTGTACAGGTGGGCGTCGAGGGAGATGTACGAGAGCGGGACATGCAGCTTCAACATTGGCAGATCTTCTAGGTTCCGCGCTATGGGGGATGAAAATGCTGCGTTGCTGAGTACGTACCCCGACAAGGTATCGTGGCCGACGGGGCAGCAGAAGGCGGTCGTCTTGCGCACTTTCGCTGACAAGGGTTTCCCTAACTGCCATGGGTGCATCGATTGCACCCACATCTTCATCGACAAGCCAGTGAATTGCCCCGGGGAGGACTACTATGATAGAAAATGCCGTTTCTCCGACCAGGCGCAGGTCGTCGTCGATTTGAACTTGTGGATGCATTCGTCGGATATCCGGGAAGTTGCCAAGACATGAGGATCGTCCACCTGTCGAGTTTATGGGCGCGCGCGGAGGCAGGGGTCCTGGAGATTTTCACTGGGCCACCTGTCATGCTGCCTTTCGGTGTGCAGACGAACGGGTATCCGCTTGGTGACAACGGTTATCCCCCCTCCAAATGGGTAGTCGTCCCCTATGGCGGTCTCTCACAACACCCGTCGTAGCTGCGCTTCGACAACAAGCAGAAGACGGCGAGGGGAGCAGTTGAGAGGGCTTTCGACAGACTGAAGGGGAGGTGGAGGTTGTTCCTTCGCTCCCACAAGACGAACATGGACATGTTGCCGCAATAGTTCGTCGACGTCTGCATTCTGCTTACTCATCGACGCGGGGATCCCCTTCGACGACAATCTACTGTGGGAGGTCGGGTCGGACGGTGTTTGTCGTAGGGTGGACCTTGGGATGCAGCGGCCCTTGAGGCCAATGTGTATGCTCATTCTACGGGACACACTGGCGGCGCGAATGAGAGCGCAGTGAACACGGCTAGGCGTGCGGAGCGGGCGGCTGCGATGTCGTGGTTGTGGCGAGAAATCAGAGCACACGACGCAGGGAGCAGGCAAGAAATAGGAGCGGACGACGCGGATGGCGTCTTGTCCTTGATAGGGTGGTCGTATGCGTTTGCGTCGTTGTGTGTGTCGCCCCGTTTTGTAGAACTAGGGAGTTCATGGACCAGTGGTTGTTTCGCTGTGGGTTGGCGTGCATGAGGTGGCGTGTGTCGACAGTTTTGTTTGGTGTTCTTTCGTACTGCACGCCCGTGAGGACGGTGTCGGCGGCTCGGGTTGTTCGCGATGGCGCAGTCCAACTCGTCCTCGACGGGGACGACGTCACGCGCGTGCACATGTCGATCGTAGTTGTCGTGTAGTATGTTGTCACCGTGGGTGACGTGTATGGGTGTCGGAGTCGATTTCGGGGGTGTATGTTCTGTTTTCCGGATGTTGGGAATGAAGTTGCCATAAAAGTCTTTTTTTTGCCAAGTGTGTCGTCTTCTGCTTTTACTGCGAGTGACAACAATCTAACAACATATCATGTCAATTATTTATGTTGCGTGGCTTGTCTTCTTATTTGACGACGAATGAAAAGAAAACAATTGCATGTCGTTGTTTCTGTCATTTCTAGTGCCATTTTTCCTTCTCGCATTTGCAATGCCGTGTATGAACATCCCTCGCTATGTCATCATCCATCGGTTCAAGCAAGCATCCCTGACCCCTTTCCATCCCCCTTACCATAACATTCGCGAATGCAAATGAAAGCGGAATAAAAAGGAAGCGACAACAAGTTGTAGAAATGATCAATATCAACCAACACAATTAGATGATAGTTTTAACAGATGCGAACAACGATTTGCCATGTTCCAAAAAAAAGTTAAAGAAAACGAAAGGTTCATGGAATATCCCTACGACAACCGATCCGCCAAAGTGATGATCACCATCACGGGAACGTCCACTCCCATGACCAATCACCAAACCC